TGCCTTAGTTTTCCCCCCCCTGAAAAAGTGAACAGGCTTATCTAGATATAATAGTAGGCAAGGCACGGCGTCCCAGCTGCTGGTTGACATGGACAGAGAGGTAGTTGAGAAGCACCTGGTTACACTGAATGAGTACAAATCCCCCCAGGCCAGATGGTATGCACCCAAGAGTGCTCAAAGAACTTTCTAAAGAGCTCGCAGAGCCTTTGTCCATCATCTTCCAGACCTCTTGGAGGACGAGAGATGTGCCACAAGACTGTAGGAGAGCAGATGTTATCCCAATTTTCAAAAAAGGGAAGATGACCCAGGAAACTACAGGCCAGTCAGTCTGACCTCTGTCCCAGGGAAGATACTGGAGCAGATTTTAAAGGGATCAATCTGCGAGCATCTAAAGGACAACTTGGTGATCCAGGGAAGTCAGCATGGATTTGTCTCTAACAGGTCCTGCCAGACCAACCTCATTTCCTTCTTTGAGGAGTAACGAGCTTACTGGATTGAGGGAATGCTGCTAATGTAGTCTACTGGGATTTCAGTAAAGCTTTTGACAGGGTTCCCCATGATGTTCTGTTGGGTAAACTAGAGGACTCTGGACTGGACTCTAGGATAGTTGGGAGGTGCAGTGAACACACCAGAAGATAGAGATAGAATTCAATGAGATCTGAACACACTGGAAAAGTGAGCGGACATGAAAAAGATGCAATTTAACAAGGATAAATGCCAAGTTCTACATCTGGGTAGCAAAAATGAGGAACACGCATACTGGATGGGAGATACACTGAAGTGTGTGTGAACAAGATCTTAGGGTACAGGTGGACTGCAAGTTAAATATGATCAGCCAGTGTGATGCAGTGACAAAAAAGGCCAATGCGATCTTGGGGTGTATCAACAAAGGCATAACATCCAAATTGCAAAATGTCATGCTCCTGCTGCACATTGCATTGGTCAGGCTGCACCTGGAGTATTGTGTGCAGTTCTGGAGGCCTCACTTCAAAAAGGATGTGGACAGAATGAAGTGGGTGCAGAGGAGAGTGATGAGGACAATTGGGGGCCTGGAGACCAACGCCTATGAGGAAAGGCTGAAGGACCTGAGAATGTTCAATCTGGAGAAGAGGAGGTTGAGGGGAAACATGATCGCTCTTTTCAAGTATTTGAAAGGCTGTCACTTAGAGGAGGTCAGGGAGCTGTTTGCAGCAGAGGACAGGACTCACAATAATGGGTTTAAATTAAGGGTGGGAAGCAGGCTCCTAACCAGGTTTTTGTGGCTTGTGGGACAAATTCTTTTCTGGTGGGGCTGATGTTCTCAATGCAGAAAGAAAAGCCATTTAGCCAATAGAAAGCTGTTACCAGGATCTGTCTCTAAATTGCAAGCTGTTACCACTCTAGATGACAGTTCTCAGCTGCTGCAAGTTTATCACTTCTGCCAACCTAAGCAGCAATTCTGATAACAAGCCAGCAGGTGGGGGTGATGACTTCTATAATCAAGAAAGCTAATAATTAGGCAGAAAAACTCTCTTAAAGGAGAACAGTTTCTTGACACAGAGTTAGAAGGGATCTTAGAGGTCACCTACCCCAACCCCCTTGCTCAGTGCACACACCTTTTAAAAATGTTGAAAAATGATTGAAAAAAGAATTTACAGGAGGAATTCTTATGGGACTGTGCCTTTAAGAAGGGGGAGGAGCCCCCAAAAGCCCCACTGTAGCTACAGGCCTGGTGGGAAGGTACCAGCTGGATCTTTGGGAAAACTTTTTTACAGTAAGAGTTATTCAGCAGTGGAATCAGCTACCTAGGGAGGGTGTGAGCTCCCCCTGACTGGCAGTCTTTAAGCAGCAGATGGACAAATACTTGTCAGGGATGCTCTAGGCTTATACTGCATTGATCAGGGGGTTGAACGAAAGGGCCTGTATGGTCCCTTCTATGATTCTACTTTATTACTTTACTTTAAACCAGTGGTGCCCACTGACACCTTTCATGGTGCCCACCAAGTGTTTTAGAAAGTGGGAGGGGCCAGATGGGGGCTTTTGTCTAGCAGGACTTCTAATTGGCCCCTGGAGATCTGATTAACTGAGGTTTTTAAAAATGTTGCTTTAGCAGAAACTGCCACCATAGCACAAGGATCTTTACTCCACGACTGAAGGTAAGCAGTTTGTATGCAAGAAAATATTTTTAAACAATATGCTTATTTTAAAAAGTAATCTGTTAAATAGAGCTTCTGCTTGAAATGTTGAAGAGTGACGCCTAACTCCCAGACCTACTCTTGGTAGCTCTTGCTCCTGTGGCAGCCATTTTGTTGCTACTCCTACCATCCTGTGTCAGAATTCCACTCAAAAGGTTGGGGGGACCGCTGCCCTAAACTCTCAAAGGTTTCGCCAGGAATATGGTGTAATCAATCTGCATTGGAAGCCTGGAGTCCCATCTCTTTTGTTGGAACACATGTGGAATGACCTGAAGTTAAATTCTCAGAAAGTCAGGAAATCCAGCAATTCAGAAAAGATTAATGCCTGCAGCCTCCATCTTTTTTCAAGCTACTGACAATAAAGGAGAAAAATGGGCCGGAAAATGGCATATTTACCTAGTCTTATTGACTAGCTATATCAAACCAACCAAGCAGGCCAGGTTTGCTGCTTGTACACCCTGTTTACATTATGATTCCTTCTCTGTGAAATGCTCACTTTCCATTTATTATCTTTATTACAGGTTCCTTCCCCACTTCAGAGACTGAGGGCTTCGTGCCAAATTCTAGTCAGGAGCAAATAAACTGAAGGTCTGTTCTCCAGGTTGCTTTACTTTTTTGGACATGGTGTCCATACTGTTTCCTGACATATGTGTTAGCTATCAGGCCAAAGAAAAGGGGGCTGTTTTGCTGCAATTTCTGGGAAGCTGCAATCTGCAGCACCATCCCAACCTATGTACCCTGGAACAAAACAGACCTTGCTCTACACGCTGAAACTGATCACACTAGCAATTAAAAGTGTGTTTTTGATGCATTCTTCACTTAAAGTACCTTATAAATTGTACACTTGGGGCAACTGAACGCATCTCAGCTAGCAGGAAACCTGCTATTTTTGGGGAGTGGGGTAGGAAATGGAGAATGAACATTTCCAGTTGTTACTGGAGGAAGCATTTAGTTTGGCAGGTCGCAGCTATGCTTGGCGAGCACATTAGGTCTCTCTAATAGTCTTAGACTAGGCAAAATGTACCATACAATCATTAATTACCAGCAGATTCCATTATTCCTTTTCAAGCTCCTAAGAACTCAGAGCTTCCTAAAACAATCCCACAGCATGGATTTCTAAGGGAGCAGTACTGTGAGAGCTACCCTTTGACTTGATTACAATGTGACATTTTCTGCAACTGATTGGCAAGCATCCTTGCCATTCTATATTCTTCCACTAGAGAGCAGAACTATGCTAAAAGGCAGAACTATGCTAAAAGGGCAAGGGGCAGTATCCGACCAGGTTTCTCTAGCCCCTTTCACACTTTTAAAAGTCCCCATCAGATAAAATCACTGTTTTCATTTCTATGTTGCATAAACACTGAAAGATCTAAACAGTAGCCTTGCTGGTTCACATCAAGGACTCATCTAGTCCAGTATCATGTTCCAAAAAACAGAAGAAGGGACAGAGAAGCCAAAGCCTCCACCTGCTGTTATCCTCCAGCAACTGGGATTCAGTGTAATACTGTTTCTGAACAAGCAGGTTCTATTTAACTGTTGTGGCTAACATCCAATAATGGAACTGTCCTCCATGAACATATTAACCCCCCTTAAAGCCATCTAAACTAGTGGTCAACACCACATCCTGCTGAAGTGAGTTATTTTTTATTGTTTTTTATGTTTTTGTGTACATATTTTAGCTTGGCTTTAATTGTACTAAATGTTATGTTTTTATTTGGTTTCAAAGGTTCTTAAGACAAGTTTTTATTATGTGTATTTTAAATATGTTAGCTGCCTTGGCAGTCCAGATGAAAAGGCGAGGTACAGATTTTGTAAATAAAATCAAATGAAATGATGCTTTGCATGAAGTGATATTTTGTTTTGCCCGTCCCAAATCTACTGCTCATCAATTTCATTAGGGGACCCCAATTTCTACTATTATAGGACAGGGAGAAAAAAAATCTCGGTTTGCTTTCTCCATATCAATCATAATTCTGTAAACTTTTATAATGGACATCTTTCATCTTTTCTTCCTGGGCTATATCATATTAGTTCCAATAGTTTAGCATATACTTTGAGCAAAATGGGTGTCTTCCATATTCACATCTGATCTGTATCCAAACTGGAGTAGCAGATTACAAATCAGAACATTCTGATTCTATGTGAGATTCAAAATATTTCAAGCTTTTCTCACTGTCAGATACAGACTTGCTACCCCCCAAGCTTAAAGACATGTTTTGTATGTAGATAAGAGGACTTCAGATATCAAAATCTCCTTCCAAAATGTACTCATAGGGTTGACAGATAGACAGGTTTCCATTTTCAAAAATAAAAATTACCATTGATTTCCTTCATAATGATGAACAGAACAGAAATATCTACTACATGAAGGTAAAGGTAAAGGTTTCCCTTGCTCAAAAGCCAGTCGTGTCCGATTCTAGGGTTGCAGTGCTCATCTCCGTTTCCAAGCCGAAGAACCAGCACTGTCCGAAGACATTTCTGAGGTCATGTGGCCGGCATGACTAAACGCCAAGGCGCATGAAATGCTGTTACCTTCCCACCGAAGTGGTACCTATTTATCTACTTGCAATTTCTTGCTTTCGAACTGCTAGGTTGGCAGGAGCTGGAACCAGAGACGGGAGCTCACTCCGTCATGCGGCACACTCGGGTCTGGAACTGCTGAACTACCGACCTTCTACAGCCTGCAGTTCAGCGTCTTAACCACTTGAGCCACCGCAGCTCAACTACATGAAACAGACCATTAAAAAAACAAACAAACAAAAAAACCCCAACCCATCTTTCCATAATGAGCTTCAGGACTGTAGACATTTAGAAGTGTTTTCCTACCTTATCCCTTGCATCATTCAAAAGGTCTTCTAGCTCCGAAAAGCTAAAACTGGCTACAGTGATGAAGTCACTCATGACAGGAACAAACCTATCACCTGCTTCCCGCATACGTCTCTTCTGGTAATCTAGCTCCTGAAGAAAGAGAAAGGTCAGAACAGTTGATTGATAGCTAGCAAGAAAGTATTTGGTGAAATAATTACAGCTGGTGGAGTCACATTGCTTAATCAAGCAATTTCTCCTCCAGTGCTTAATAAAAGCCTGTCATAACAAAACACTAGGAATCTACATGTACAGTTGTAATACAATCCAAGATCTAGGGGCCTTTTTTTGGGGGGGGGGCAACCATTAGCCTGGTAGAGTGTGTTCTGGATGAATAACCACTGGAATGTATGAAAGGTGCTTCCTAAGTGTTTCTAATTGTAGAACACAAAATTATATATGGCAATTGAAAGTGCAGAACCATTTTTAAAAAATACAAATTCCCAATGTAGCAAAGGACTGTAGCAACAGGATAGTTTGCAGGGGCCTAACTGTTTCAGAGATGATAATGAAGATTCAGTTTTAATTTTTTCTTTTAAAACCCCCCACTAAGTTTCTAGCAGCTTTACTTACAGGGAAAAGAAGCAAGCCTATACAAAGTTTCTGCTGTTCTAACCAGTAAGGGCAAATGCCCAGAGCCTTGAGAACTTGTTTTAATGCTATTAACCTTTTCTAATGGCTTATCCACTGAAATCATGGCTATGGTCCTTCTAATGATGGGTATGAACACTAAAAATAATAGATTGTGCAGTTGATTTCAGTCATGTGCTTTTTCCACTGCTAGGAATACTTTATGCCATTTCCTATGTTGCAGGTGGTGTGCTGAACAGCAGTGCAGTAACTGTTAGGTCCAGATACCATTCTAACCCCCTCTGTAGGGGGCCGCATCTCAGAGGTAAAGAACATGTTTTGCACACAAATGTTCCCAAGATTCCCACACCTCCATGGAGAAGATCTCAGCCGGGCTCGTAAAGACCTGGTTGACACGGACAATACTGCACATGGTGACCCTCTAGCGTGATCCCATGCAATGTGTATGTTCATACGCATGCTTCTTCATTTAAGGGCCACATGTGCTCAGAGATCCTCAGAGATATCTTGAGAAGATATGGAAACTTGTGACGTTTCCATATCTTGAGAAGATATGGAAACTTGTGAACATTTAGAGATGCTCACATTGTACTGAGACAGCTAGCCCTGCCATGAAAATATTTGAGGTGACATAATTTTCTTTCTTAAGGAAGAAAAACGTTTCAACATATTTTATTTCAAACTGAACAGCCTTTCTTCTGAAAGGCCCTCCCGAAATGTGATCTGCAAAGCTTGTCAGTGCTTTAAATGACCGCAGGAGGTCAGTCAAGCACAGTTATCCAAGTGTTCCTTACCACTCAGTTCAAGTCTTCAAGACTCTTGATCCCATAGCGAAGTCTGATAACACATTCTGAACAATCTTAACATTTACTCTAACCCCTAGAACTCCTGCTGCCTTCATGTGTACAATGCATTAATTTTCCCCAAGCCAAATAAAATGATTGTTCATCATATCAGTCATCTCTTCCACTCTGAGATACAACTAGGATACCTGGTAATTACATAACAATTTGCTAACCGCCATAAAATATACTGTCCTCAATATGTACACCCTTGCCAGTGTGCACTGGATTTCTACCCAGTAGTACAGGTTATTTACCAAATGTAGCTATTTTTTAAAACAATACTCCATGTACAAGGAACTGGATCTGACAAATCCAGGGCTATTTTGGGGCAGGAAGACACAGGAATGGAGTTCCGGCTGGCTCCCGTGTTGGCCACGCCCAGCAGGAACTAATTAGCATAAAAGGCCACACCCAACAGCAGAAACTCATTAGGATTCGCTACATTAGGGGTGTGTGGCCTAACATGCAAAGAAGTTCCTGCTACAAAAAAAGCCCTGGGTTTTGACAATAAACAAAGTAAATAGAATAAGAAGCAAAAGGTGGGTGTGGCTGGGTGACCACACCTCTGGTAACATGGGGGTGTGGCCTAATATGCTAATGAGATGTGCTGCCAGGGTGTGACCTAATATGGTAATGAGTTTCTGCTGTTGGGTGTCGCCTATTATGCTAATGAGTTCCTGCTGGGCCTTTTCTACAAAAAAAGCCCTGGACAAATCTGCTAGTGTGCAGGCTGAATTATGAACCCTTTTGTATCTTGCATCTGTGGTGCTATGAAACAAAAATCTATATGGAAATAATTAGAGGCTTACTTATATTTAGTCCAGGAGCATAGGAAAAACATCTTAAATGTTGTTAACCACGACTATTTATTCTTGCCCCTCTTTTCCTTACCACCCCATCCACCTCTACTTCTTCAGTTTACATTTATTTACTGCAACTTTTTCCTGCCTTTTTTCAAGGAGCTAAGTGTGGTGTACATGAGTCTTCCATTTCCATTTTATCCTCACAATAACCCTGTGAGTTAGATCAGGCTGAGAGAACATGACTGGCCTAAGGTAACCAAGGTCATTTCATAGCAAGACGGGATCTGAACGCATACTTTCACAGTCCAAGTCTCTCAAGGCAACACTCTTATGTTCTGCTTAAAGATCCCATGTACATTTTTAAAAAATCAATATCAACCTCTTCAGGGATTGCTTGGGACATTATTACCTCTCCAACTGAGAATGAAAATTAAGAATGGGCATACCATTGTAACGGGTTGAGCCAAAATGTGGACATTTGTTCAAATCTCTCTCCCAGATTTGGTTCAAGGCTTTTAAAGTATTGACAACTTCTGGTAGTATTGACAGCAAGGCCCAATCAGGAATGCTCACAAAACAGCAGTGCAAGTTTATAACTTTTTATTTTGTGATACTAGCTAGTTTCACTCTGGGAAGTTTCCGAAAGCTGGACTCGCATCTCGTCATTTTTAAATGGTACTGCCAGCCCTGGGAAGCAAAGGATTACAAAGTGCCTCTGTGAGCAGCTGACTGTGAACCTATTTTTAGTTTTGTGTTTGTAATAAGGGGCCTTGAAGAAACCTCTCAGCAGCCAGAGCCAGGACTGTGGCGAGAACACACTGGAACACAGTCAAGAGTTGCACCTTTTTTCTTTCCTTTTCCCCCCCGTTGTCCCCTCCCAACAAGGCTCTTCCATTGTTACTATAGTGCTGCATTTTTACATGCCAAAAATGTGAAATGAATGAGCAAGACTTGTGAGGTGGAGGCTGCCAAGGCTAAGAAAACTTGGGCGGGCGGGGAGACTGGTACATGAATGAGAAAAAAAGATCTTGCCCAGGAGGAGGGACTTGCAAGGATACTGGGCAAACAGTCCACAAGCTGAAAGCAAATCAAAGCAATGGTTTTGTCACTTGACAGCAGCAACTGTCTTGTAATGCCTAGACTGCCTGAAACAGCCAGCACCAAGGCATGAAGGAACACAGCTCTTTTTCCATGGGAAAACCTGTGATCATCAGAGAAAGGGTGCGGCAAGGGGTAACCTTGTCGAGGGATAAGGTTCCCATAACTTCACACGAATGAGCCCTGTGCTACAATAGGATCCACATGACTACTGGATTAAAATGCACAAGCACACACATTTAAGGAAGTTTAGATACCATTTAACTCCCTTTAACCTTCTTTTCATACTGACAGTTGAAATGGATGGATTTTCCCCTACCCTTTCCAAGTGTGTTTCTGGATGACATGGAGATTCTTAGTTGTGTTCCTGGTTGCAAGCACCAGATCAGGGTTGGTAATTAAGTTCAATTCCACTTGGTACACACACAAAGCTGCCTTATAATGAACCAGACCATTGGTCCATCAAGGTCTGTACTGTCTACTCAGACTGGCAGCAGCTTTCCGGGGTCCGAGGCTGAAGTCTTTTACCTACTGCCCAGTTTTTTTTAATGCTAGGGACTGAACCCGGGACCTTCTGCATGCAAAGCAGAGGCTTTTCCACTGAGCCACAGTTGGGAGAACTCTAGAGTGGGCAGTGGAATCTGGGATGAATTGGACAATCTACCCTGAGGACATGCAGAGAGGCCTAGCAAAGGTGCTCCTGGCAAGGACCTAGAGTTCCCTAGAAGTATCCCAGGGCCACCCTAGGTAAGTCTCATAGATCCTAAACACTGCCAGAAGTCTCAAAGTGTAACCCTGGGATACTTTTGACTGCACTATCATTACCTCACAGGCTCAAAGCCCTGGAAGCACGACAAGGGAGAAGTGCACAAAGGGCCTAGAGAAGCCTGGGCACATTCCTAGGCTGGGCTATGGCAAACCCATCCTAGTTCCACAGCAGGGCTAGAAGTTGATAAAACCAGCAGGTCTGGGTACACTCCATTAATGCTTCTGGCTCAGATTCCAAATATTTTCTTACATCTCAAAAATTAATATGGAGCACAAGAGTGTAATTCTGTGGTGTGGCATCAGTTTAAAACACACACACGGTTGGGCCAAAAAGTACCTGGTCAGGGACAATATTTGTCACTTTTGGACGTTATTGTAGATTATTAATGATAACTGAGGCTATTGTAAGGGCCAATATCTGTTTTAAACTATTATGAAACAAATACATGTATTTTTGTATATTTGTTAATATCTGTGAATTTTTAAAGTGGCATTAGTTACCCTCATCCTTTTAATTGTCTTCAAACCTACTTATTGCAGAGACCTTGCCAACTCTGGTGCTGGACCTAATCAAAAGTTTATGCTTACATGTTTGAGCATTCACAAACCATTCTCTAAACTAAGTTGTCTGAAGATTCAAAGTAGGCATAAACCAACCCCTGACAGAGGCAACCCCCAACATGCCTAAAACAACCCCCAATGCTAATCCATCCAAACTTCTTATCACTAAAATATTCCCAAATAAGCTGAGAACAAGTCGCTTCAAGATGCCTTAAATTATGACTGTCATCTAAAAGGCCGTTAGCAAGAAACTCTGGATTGAAACACTGTGTTTTAATTCAGCCAACAGTTGTCTTGAATCAGCAAGTTAAATGATTTATGGTGCCAAGGGAGGGAGAAATATAATTCAGTTCTGTGGCTGACAGGTGACCTCTGTCTGCAAATACAGAACAACACAAAGGGACACTTTTCTCAATGCATGATTAGCAGGTATACATAACAGACCAACGTTGAGTACTTGCCAAAACTGTACCCAGAACATCAATACCTGCCCTCCAGCTCACGATTTTCTCTCCAAAGTACTGTATACATAATTACTCATACATAGTTGACCTTGTTAGGGAGGTCATTGAAGGTCATCCCAATTTGCAGGTGGGAAACAGAGAGTGACTCACTGAAGGCCACACAGAGAGCTAGTGGCACAGCCAAGATGAGAAAGTAGGTGTTCTTGGCTCCAAGTCCTCCATTCAGCCCACCAGACCACAATACCCTGGAGAACACCAGTATGACTGAATCTTTCTATTTTGCAAGAGACTATTTGGCTTCAGTTCTTTTTTGCCTACAGGGATTCTGTTCTGTTCCCCAGACCTGTACCAGAATTCTAAAGAACATTTCCTCTAAAGCCTATAAAAGTGATGAATAAAAAATAAGAGGATTGGTAAAATTTAGAATTACTCCCTCGAACATAGATGGGTAATTCTATCTAAGCTTAAGTACAAGATTCCTTTTCCACTGAATTTTGTATGTAAGGTGTACTGAGTGAGAAACATGCGCAGTCCTGTTAACTGCAGTAAAATGTATAAGACATGGAGGGGGGGAGAAGTTGAGGAATGGGTTTGTTTGGCATTAACAAATAAAGGGAAATTCCCACACACAACTGAAAGCATAGGGCAGCAGCCATGGAGAGAGCACTCCAGGTAGCAACATATAAACACAAAGGCTGGACAGTGGCTACTATTTTCATCAGTTTATGCTTGCAGCATGGTTGGCTGAAGTCCCAGTCCTGATTGAGCCCTTACATCCCAGAACTTCCAAGGAAGGGCAAAAATTCTCCCCTTCCCCTTCCGCTCAATTGCCCTGCAACCGTGGCTGGCAGTTCTCCTTAGCACAGTGCCACACAATTTGCCACCAGTTTAAGAATGCTGCTGTCCCAGAGTTCTAGTGCTGGAAGAGGCTTCAGACAAAGCTGTGGGTGCTCAAGAAGGGATCTCAAGACCTCACAAAATGGTTGTGCAGAGTATTAATCAAGACAGATACATGACAGAGATGTAGGACTGGACTGTACCTGTGCATTTATTTGGAAGTAGAAATATCTAAATTCCTTCACAGATGTGTTTCAGGCTGATTTCAGACATCACCACAAGCTGCAGTTAAGCTGAGAGAGTGCTTAAACATGGCTTGATGCCATGCTTGCTCATGTATCTCACTCTTTCTTTCTCACACAGAACATGATTAAGAATTCCTGGTTCTGAAGCAAATTCCAGTACACTCTCCCCATCCCAGCTTAACTGAAGCTTGTTGTGATGTCTGAATGCAACCTTAGTCTCAGACTCATATGTCATAAATAGTACAGTAGCCTGTATCCAACCATACATTCCAAAGGCTTAAGGGCACTTTAGTTTTCTAAAGAGGGCATGGCAATTGCCACTGATTCCCTCTCTCATTGCAGAGGCTCCAATTTATCCCCATGCTATTCCAAAGGGCTCACTGACCCCTGACCCCAGAACTAAATTTTGGTAGATGCCCAGCAGACTGTAGCAGAAGATGGGAAAGTAGCTGAAATCTCTGCCCCTTAAGTGTCCTTAATTCTCTAGAATTGCATGACTGAATACAGGCTAATGTGTGAAAAGGAGTTAATACTACTACAATAGTGCTGTAATAAAGTATAACACTTTATGGTGCCTCTCCATTTCATACCTTCTGTCCTCCTACCAAGCAGCATTTTTGGGCAGGTGTGATGGACTGCACTTTTAAAACAAAGAGTCTTGTGCCTCTCCATTTCATGCCTTCTGTCCTCCTACCAAGCAGCGTTTTTGGGCAGGTGTGACGGACTGCACTTTTAAAAGCTTGGAAGTGCTGTGAAAATAGATAAAGGACTGTGAAGGTTTAATTCTTCACAGAGCCAGAAAGCCTTGAGTGACAGGCTGCTCCAAGCAATCTGATTGGTTAGCATCAGCTGAGCAGAGAAAGACTTCTAACTGGATTCTGAGGCGAATTCAGTCTGATTTCTGCCTTAGCTGAGAAGAGTCAGGATTCCTGACAGTTTCAGGATTCAGCCCTGACTAAGAGCAGTTTAACACAGACAGGAGAACTGAGGAAAGTTGGCAAGGACAAGTGGGTAGTTAGACGGAGACTCCCATTCGAGCCAAGGAAAGGGGGTAGATCTTCTAGTGAGAGATTAAAATTCCCTACCCTGTGAAACAGGGAGTTAGCTCTGAAGAGCAGAGAGATCCCTAGTCTGGTGTAGTTAGAAACTGCCTTTGGAGATCTTAAGAGTCAGTTAAAAACTCAAGACGAGTACTGGTGTTTCAAGAGGGGTCTGGGTATTAGAAAGAGTATACCAGCCTTCTGGAAACCAAAAGAGTTAGAGAATACTGAAAGAAAGTGTACTGAAGTGTTTAGGGAAAACACTGGAACAAAAACCTCTCAACATCAAGATTTACTTCATTGTGAAAAGCTTAAGAAACATTCATTAGCCTGAAACATAAGTACTAGGTCTGTGCATGTACTGATTTTACCTCAGAAATATCAATATTGAGTTACCACAGAAATTTTATCCAATTTCACATGACCTTTCCCCTCTATGTTGAATGAAATATTTTGTTAATTTGGAATATGAAAACTTCTCAAGTGCCATTCAAGTTGTATATCTTAAAGGACACTCCCATTCTTTCCCTCAGGTTCCTGGGCTGAGCCAACAGCCAAAGTACCACCCTATGACAGGGTGGGACAGAAAGAATTCTTCAGGAATGAAGAAAACAGACAACAAGGGTAGCTCAGTCAAAAAAGGGAAAGAAAAACGGAGGGAAAATCTTGCCTCTGAGGGAGGGAGGTAGATGGGGGCAGGTAACAAATTCTTTAACATTCTAGGTCACACCCATGCAGGCCTGTCCACAGAGGCCACACCAAATAGCTGCTCACAGACCAGAAGTCTTTCAAAAAAGTGAACAACCGTGTTCAACATTTTTTATGCTTGACATTTGTCACACTCCTGTTCAATTCTCCCCCATACCCCCAGCAGCAGATCAAACAAGTGTCTTGTTAAGTGGCACATCTGTTAATATAATCAGCCTGGCCTTTCTAGGAGAGACTTTAAAAATGCATTCAATCCTAGGGAAACAGTCTGTGCTTGACAAAGAAAGAAAGGCTCCTTCTTCTGTCACAATTTTTTTTAACATGGGGTATTTGAAAACTATGACACACTTACTGCTTCAACAGCTTTCAATCCATTCTTTATGTTATTGACTTCCTTCTCCAGCTCCACCAGGCTACAAGGAGACACAGAGATATGGCAGTTAAAACAAAACGGCCAGTGTTACATGGGGTATACGAGAACTACTGAAGCAGAAAAAAAATCACTGGTCCATCGTCTGGTATCCTCCCTTCAGCACCAGCCCCAAACCAGATGCACAGAGGTGGGAGGAAGAGGTCCATTCTTCTTTGAACTGGCTTTTAATAGGACGTTTAAGACCAACTTCCGTCACAGTTTAGAGTCATATTAAAGATCCCATTCAGAATAGGTCTAAGTATTTTAGCCACAGGCCATCTGTAGAAGGAAAGCAGGATGCCAAGCTTATAAACACTTGATGCTCTAATAAATTGTGCTAGCCACATGGCCAGCCTTATATAAATGCCTAACCCACATGCAAAAAACTTACTACCAGAATATCTATAACAATCAGATTAGCTTTCTCCTCCTCCCCCCATGCACCCTATTCCATTCTTCTCCCTCAAACTAGCTAACAACCTGTAAGTTGACTACAGTTTACCGTTTTGATTATTTCTAAAAAAACGTATCTTTCTAGAATTCTTATCAGTGAACATCTTCAAGGCTTTTTCCATTAAGTGTTCCCTTCTGCCATGCAAGCAATTGCTCATGTTATGGTTTTTACGTATCAATTTCTTCTCATAGGTCTATACATTTGGTTTTATAAAACGGGGGTGGAATGGGGGGAAAAATTCCTTTAAGGACAGATTTTATACCAGAAACCCAAAGTTCACACATGTGCAGCAAACCCACCTATGTGTGGAATAAACCCAGCCATGGCAGTTAAAACAGCTAGTCAACAACAAGCCAGTGCAACAACTCTCGAGTGAACCAAACCTGTCCAATCAGTTGAATAAAGAATTAATTTGGATAAAGATCACTGGGATGAGTATGGTTATCTGGAGAAGCGAGCAGTGACTCACGAAAGCTCAAACCCTACCACAAATTTTGTGAGTCCTTAAGGTGCTCTGGACTCTTACTCTTTTCTATGGTTACAAGGTTAATGCAGACTGATAAATGTCTGTTAGCTTTTCATCCAGCAGTATACCAATCAAGAGTCTGTGTCACATGAGAGCAACATGACAGGTGGTGCCAGTTAATGCTTAGATGTGTTCATTAACAAAGACTGGGTAAAAGACGCAGCCCAAAGTTCAAGAGGGACAGGCTGTCATGTGGCTCTCATGTGATACTGCAGAGTCTGTAAAACCTTCCTTTTTAAAAGATATAATTGGGGTGGGCATATGTTATGCACTGGACGTTTTTAGACAAGAGCTGCTACTATTGGACTGGATAATGATGAGCATGTAAAGTTTTTTACTCACTTGAACGGCATTTATTAGAATTGTCAGTTTTAGTCCATTATTTAGTTATTTTTCACTTTCTATGAACTGCCTTGAGCACAGGAAAGGTAAGGTACAGATGCCTAAATAAAGCACATGCAGACACAAACATACTTACTTGACTTTTGCTGCTTCTGGAAGATACTGCAATTCTGACTGTATGTCCAGGATATCTATGTAGTTCTTCTCAAATATCATAATTAAGTAGTGCAACAGTGTAATGTTCCTATGGGCAAAGAGAGGCAAAGACAGACAGAAACCAAGAGGGGGGAGGGGGGTTAGTTGCCATCAAATATGAGTTTGTCTGTGAATTCAGGCTTGACCAGATAAAGGTTCAGATATAAGTATCAGCATTTATGTTTATCATATAAGAGCAGAGTGGATAGCAAATAATAATTTCTCTTAACAGAAGAGTCCATACAGCCCCAGCTTCTTTTTCAAAGGTCGCATGCCTGTCAAAGCCTTACATGATTCAAAAGACCACAGTGAGAGCACAAAAAGGATCCACATCATATCCCTCCTCATTTCCTCATCCCAACAATATCCCCCATGTAAAAAAAAGAGGTAATTTTCAAAACCTACTTATCTATGCTAGATTTGGTGTCAGCTATTTTGTTCAGGCTGGAAACTTTAAAGCCAAATGCATTTCCTCTTTGGCCCTTGTTCATGTAATTGCCAAAGGCTAAAACAACCTCCAGAAGCTGCTTTAGGCGCTTGCTACGGGTAAGCTCTTTGGAAGCCAGGAGAATCGCTGAAAGACAGAGGAACCTTTAGGTTAGCATCAATAATAATCTGTAGGGAAGGCATTTTAACACATCAGATGGCAGAGGAAGAATACCTCTAACAAATTAATGTAATTCAATTTTATTGCATTGTTTGTTATCAGTTACTGCATTGTTTGTTATATGTATTATCCTGGCCTTTTTTTTTAAAAAAAATGTTCTCTGATTCTGTAGAACTTAAATTTCAATGAGAAAGGTGGACCATAAATGAAGTCAGTCAGTCAGTCAGTAAATAAATAAATAAATGACTACGATTAGTTACTGAAATCAGGATTCGACTTGCAAATGAACCACTCAAATACTGGTTTGTCTTTGCCCATACCAGGTATCTCTGCGGACAGGGAACACACAAGGGTGGCGCTGAGGAACAAGCATGAGCTTTGCAGAGAAAAGGTTCAGCAGGCGAACATACTGTGTTCAACTTCTATGATCCTCACAAGCAGAGGCTCGAGTCTGTTCAGTTTGCTGTCTTCCAAACCAAGCAGCTATCAATGGTTCTGAGGATACAGAGTAGCTGTGGTGATGGAATTTCATTTCCTTGCCTTACAGGCACCTTTGCAGTTGTGCATTAGGTAAAATCAGAGTATCCACCCAGGATCTGGATGGTTGGGTCAGGAAATTAAATAACATGTAGGGGAGTTGTGTTTTCCATGAGACTGTGCAAAAATGTACACGCACAATATAATCTTGACAGCACCTCCTGGCCCATGTCCTACCAGCAAAAACACTGGTCTAAGTATAAACTCAGCGGCAGTGAAAAACAAGGCCTCTTTCCCCTATTTGTCTTCTGCCTTGCCTACATAGACTTAGGTGAATACCTGACAGTAAAAAAATTTAAAAATCAAAATGTTGATCATAATCACTGGCTGTCTGATTGATCTGCTCACTCTTTATTTATATGAGTGGTTGTTGAGTGTCATGCAGTAACAATGGGTCTGTGGGGTCAGCTGAACCTGTGAGTGCTCAAGCACAAGTTACGATTAAGCCAAGGGGATCAAGTGAAATCATTCTGAAGGTGAACTGAGATTAATAAACCAAATAGTTCCATATTCAGGCATGATGTACCCTAACAAACCAAGGGAAGTGGAATAGCCCACATTCAAACAATCTATGTCTCTAGTGCACTTTTATTCCCACCACATCCAACTAGCTCAGGGTGGCATACATGGTTCTCCTTTCACCATTTTATCTTCATAACAACCCTTTGAGACAGGTGAGGCTGACATAGAGGGACTGGCCCAAGGTCACCCAGAAACTTCAGCGCAAAGCACGTACAGAGCCCAGGACTCTGAAATCCTAGCCCAACATGCTGACCACTGTACCAGACGATTGCAGTAACCACAGTTAATTTAATTAAACCATGGGTTTTTGTGATGTCTGAACTGAGCCCCAATCTGGGATGCCCTAAATGCACACAAAATTCAAGGTGCTGGAGTGCTACCAGAGGACCTTTTCATACTGAGCCGGGGGGGGGGGGCAACAGGGGGGGGGCTCCTCGTGTCCTGGCCCCCCTGCTGGACCTCCTGATAGCACCTGGTGTTTTTTGGCCACTGTGTGACACAGAGTGTTGGACTAGATGGGCCCATTGGCCTGATCCAACATTGGCTTCTCTTATGTTCTTGTACTATGGAGAGAAATGGTTCCTATGGAAAGTACTGCCAGAGAAGCCTTGGACTTCTTCCCTTCAGTCCATGCTTTAAGTCAGCCAGGAAATTTCCTAGCATTTGCTGCCAAGTGAGGTAGGGCTGTCCAGGATGCTGCTCTAGCTACCAACAGAATCAGGGCTTGGATTACTCATCTAGTAATATAAAACTCTTCGTTTAACCATCTGTTTTGCCTAGCATACTTCTTGATAGACTGCTATCAATAATAAGATGCTGTATAGGAAGACCTTGAACTTACCTTCCACTTTTGGCTTGGCTTCTGCAAGCCTCTCTGGGAACTTCTTCTTAAAGAACAACGCTTGAAGTCGTTGCTGGTAGTGATCGATTCTGAAGAAGAAAGAGGAAGCAGAAGACCTAGATTATCTCTCAGTGAGAGCCTAAAAAAGGCAGAACAACCATAAACTCCATACACGCCTTATGTAACTATAAAGGCTGTGCAATGGTCCAGTGATTAGAATCAGACAGATTGTAGTGCCTTGGTTATAATTTTGTATAGAGGGGGAAAATAAATGTTTCAAACAAATATAAGAAACTTCACTAGCCACTTTCATTTGGACACAAGGACTCACTGCAATAAATTGCAACACTGTAGCCACTGCTTAACAAATCAGGCTGTAGTTAAATCACACGTTACAGGCAACTCACTGAAGAGCTGGCCAACTCATATTTTTATTTGTAGCATTAATTTTATTTAATTAAAAGAAATCAGATTCATTATATTAATTCACAACGACCATTACAATAGGTTCAAAGAGAAAATGGAAGATTCATTTTATATATAATACTATATATGTATAATACTGTATTCTTGTGTTGTTTTTATATTCCATAACCTGCCACGCAAATCCATTACAGTAAGAGAGGGTGGGATATAAATGTTTTAATGTCATTTAAAAACAAAAACAAAACCTGTTCTCTCTTTTTCATACAGACATATGTACCTGCTCATTTCATAAAGGAAACGATCTGCCCGAGCCATGCGGTCGATTTCATGCTTATGTTCTTCTAGAAGGTCAATATCACTCTTCTCTGGAACAAACTTCAGAAGCTGGAACCACAAGTGCAAACAAAAAAACCCAAAACTCAGCACGAAGGAACCAACCAAAGTAGGGAGGATGCAAGCAAGAATTGGTATTGCAAGGAAGGGCTGCTCCAAATTCCTCATATGAGAGCAGTTGCAAAGGAATGCAGTTGTGGTTACAAGACTGCCCTTTCTGAAACATCTGGTTGCTCTTCTGTCTTCATCCTCCCCTCTATGACTTCATTAGACATTTCTAAATTCTACATAGGATTTCCCGTTTCATGTCATTCCCTTGACAGCCAGAGGCATTCTAGAATGTAGTGCTGGACTAAAGTACAATTTAGCACCAGAAGTGTTCATCCCACTTATCTCTCATTATGATGGTCTTTAAGGTGCTAGTGAACTTGAATATGTGTGCTCCTGCAGACCAGCACAGCTACCCTCTGAAATCTCTCACAGACAATGCCTCAACCACCCCTTCACCTTTTTCAGTGATTCTGCCTTATAAAGACAATGAACAATATCAGTGTCACTTGACAAGATGCTCAAGACAGGCTCCTATTAGTGAGATGGTCTTAAAAGGCTCATAGGTGGACAGATTTTCTGCATATCTAGGAGGAGTAATACTTTGACTTGGCCATAAATACTGTCATTCAAACACATCCCAGTCACTTAGAAGAAACTGCCTAAAAATAATAATAGATAAGCAACCTGCCTTTTATCATTCTCCCCTGTATCCTAAGATGCATGAGTGTTGAAATTTTCTGGCAGCCTACAGAAAAGATAACTACAGTGATTGCTGAACACATCTGAATGCCCAGCTGGTAAACACACAGATCTTGTGCATCCCTTCAATATTAATGACACGTTGCTTCTTTCAGTGCTTTCGGAAGAGAAATTCAAGGAATTTGCTTCAGAAAGGCACTAATCTTATTGTAGTAGATAAGGCAATTCAACACCGTTAAGTGGTATAGGCAGCACAGCATAGCAGAGGTCTGTACAAAGGTCTGACCCTGCATTCCAGGCACACTAGCTGAAAGACAGGAAAATAGCCAAAAAGGAGAGGGTGAAAACAGGACATTCCACAGTGAGAAGTGAAGAACAGGGACTTGCCTAAAGTCAGCTAGTAAGTTTGTGACCAAGTCAAATTATCAACTGAGGCCCTCACAAAGTTATATACTCCATCTCAGAACACCATACAAGAACCACCTTAAAACAAAGGTGAGCATGCTTCCTTTGTTCCCTAAATTTAATTGTTGGGGTTTTTTGCTCACAGTCTTTCTCCCTCCTGGTTTCTCAGTCTCAGGTCTTATCCCTCCTCTCCTCATAATATCAGAACACCCAAAAACATGTAATACCTTTTAATAGCACCAAAGCATAACAAAATAGTCTGTGAGTTTCCAGGTTCAGTGCAAGGATGATAATATTGGTCCTATTTTACAGTATTAAATAAGTATAGTTTAGAAGCCACAGAGGGATTCCATGGCAAATAAGAGAATTGCATGCCATGAATTTTGCCTGGCTGGAAAAATTCCATTGCTACATCATTACATTCCAAAGCCATATTCATACCTACTGTAAGGCACAAGCCACTCCTTTAAAGGCATCTGGGCTGCAGCTAGTGAAAAAGAGGAGGAGACTATGTTCCTTTACAGGCAACATTTTAAAGAGCCTTTGGAAGCAACCCACCTGCTCAAGCATATCTTTAGCCAGATCTTCTTCTTCATCCATTTTCAAGATTGCCTGTCGGATTTCTTCGTTAGATAGTTTCAACCTTAATATTAATGGTGATCCATTACTTGGATTGCAAAACTGATTCTGACAAATTCAATCAACATTTTGTTGGGGAAAAGGTAAGATTCCTGGAAACAAGCCCCATTACAAGGCTTACAAACAATATTTCTCCATTCTATCATAATTTATACACATAGCCCTTCCAATACACAGCTGAAACATGAATAGTGATATATAAACACATTTATTGTAGATGACCTTCCCATGAATGGCGTGTCATGCAGAAAAGCTTTCATACATGAGGGGGTCATATTTTGATGCTCCTCTATGTAATCAGGGGGGGGGGTTAGTTCTAGCCTAGACCTTTGTGCACTGTTCTAGTTTTATGCCATACAGGTAATTATTAATGTAGGATTGCTTTGAAAAATGTCTGTATGAGGTTGCCCATTCTACCACCTCTCTGATATTTGTAGATAAAAACCAAGGCTTGTTCAGGTATGTTTATTTATTTATTTATTTATTATTCGCATTTTTATCCCGCCCTCCCCGGAGGCTCAGGGCGGCTAACAAGGCATGGTAAAAAGCTGTGTGCGAATCAAAATTTTGTCTAGTTTCAGTGCTATTGATCCTTCCTGAGTATTTGGTTTTGTGATGGTAAGGCCGATGTATTGATTCCAAGTTAAAATAATATTTTTTCCTAGTATGTGAACTTAAAAGCAAGGAAGATCTTCTCCATTCTGATAGTGTTCAAAAACCAAGGTAACTCTTGAATCAATTGTCCTGCAAGCATTTGTGACAGGACCATGTCCATGAAACATGAGCAAAACTTAAAAGATGAAGTCGCATAGCACCATTCCCCCCCTTTCTTTCTGAGGATATATGGTTGAGGAAGGCGAGTCTTTTCTGACCTAAACCTGGGGTGTTAGCGTAAGCAAAACCAGTTGCCATCCTTAAAGAGGAAAATCAGAGAGCTGAAACAAAATTTATGCCAAAAGTACAGCATGTTTCCTGGTCATGTTTGGAATAAACCAGAGACTCTCTCTCCATGTCTCTGAGATGGCCAAACAATAAGCCACTTGATGTCTGCTGGTGTTAAATCAGTCGAGGTGTCCTGAGGAGATTAGTGATTAATGAGTCTGCAGAGTCAATAGGGGTCATTTATATGTCCTGAGGGGATCAAGGGACGGGACCAGCGTAAGTATCATATTAGAAACCAATTTATAATTCTGGAGCTTCAGTGTGGCGTGGAGATTAGCCAGACGTTTGGCTTTCCTCACTCCAGCATGAGTTGTTGTGATGGTATGGAGAAAAGGGATATTTTAATGTGTGATTTAATGTGGGAGATTCCAGCCCAATACACAACAAGTAGTATGGCTGATCTCTACGTGTACAAATAAAAATATGGTGCAGAATTTAGTTCAGCCAGAGTGGGAGACTATCTGGCTGAATGATCCCCCAGACTGAAAAAAAAAGTAACAAAACTGTGATAAGAATTATAACTTGGCCTCCTGCCTAGCATGATACTCTTCTGTGTAGGGATCCTGGCAATGGATCAGGGCCTCTCTTTCAAGTACTGTAAAGGGACTTACTGCTTTTTCCATACATTTGCTCTGCAGTTTTGTCATAGTGCACGTGTTCCATTCTCAGGTATCCAAATCAAAGTTCAAGAAAGAAGTAGTGTTTAAAATATCAGGAAAGCAAAACAGAAGACCTGGCAAAAAACACATGCCCTGATTGCAAAGGACAACCTGTTCTTTGGTGAACTTTGTAATAAAGATAGCTTACGGCTGAATCCTGAAGGTTGTTCTGCTGAAAACAGATTTTCAAAGTGACTGTTGATTTTCTCTTCTACCATTTCCATACACCTTGTTTTCACACCTGCATCTTTTTCTTAGTAATCTGAGAAGTCAGTTTCTTCCTTTGCAACAACCATGTATAATATAAGGATAAATGCCAGCTTGCTTACTGGAGGGTTTGGCAGCACAATTTCCTAATCCCAACAACCACTTAAGACTGCAAAAGAAAGCTGACCATGCTAATGCATTCTTAAAGTTCCCAATCTGATATAGCTCAGTTCATCTTACAGAGAAGAGTAGGCTCATAGCCAGAATTTGACAGATTGCAGGAAGGGAACCGAAGTGTCCGAAGGGGCAAGTGTTCTATGAATCATATCATAGTTATTCAACAGATATTTCACTATCTCCCAGTGTTAAAAACGTCTTTATTTAATCTGATTTCTGAATGGCTAAGCATAGGATCAGAGACCAGAATATAGGGGTTGAGAAAAAGGACAAATTTATATCTCACTTCTGCCTCTTTGGCTCTGTGCCTGCAAGAGCTATTTGATAGAAGAAAAATCTGTTGAAAAACCATGGATTTTACTACAAATGCTGCAATAGCATGAACTAGGTAGTAGTAAAGCCTTATCACGCAATAGATTTGATGGGAGTAGGCAAGGCTAGCCTAGTCACCTTCCTACAGGAGGAGACAGGTGTACTGCTAGGGGTAGGAGGGAAATATTTAACGCTGGCAGGTTGTGAGTGTGTGTTTTCAAGTGTTTATGTACGTTCCTGTATTTGCATACATGTGGCTTAAGAGGAACACTTCCTTCAACTGCCTTTGTAACACGAGGGTTAGAATCATAGAATCAGAGTTGGAAGGTTCCTCCACAGTCATCTAGTCCAACCCCCTGCACAATGCAGGAAATTAAACCTTCATTTGATCTGCAAATGCTTCTCTTTTATTTTCATGGCTGCTATGAATCAAGAGTCAGAAGTGTGTGTGTGTGTGTGTATGTATATCTCTATTATATAATAATTCTGTTTTGGTCGTGGACTCTCCTGAAAATTCCACATGATCCCAAATCAGATGGCTCCCTGATCAGTCACTCAGAAGCAGACACTATCCACTGGCTGTGTTGCCTGAGTCTCGCCTCCAATTTCTAAACAGTTTGCTGTTCCTCTTCCCCCAATAGCCAGTCGGAACACAGAGATCATTTGCATATGTGGCCTGATTGGCCTTTACCTCTAACATTCTAAACAGTTTGTTGTTGCTGTTGGGAGTCATTGAATGTGTCCTGAGGTAAAATACATGTCCCAATTTTCCCTTAAACGGTCACTGGAGCTGCCAAAATACATATTACAATCTTCCCTTAAATGGTCACTAGATTTGCCAATCTCCCTGTGGGGCCTGGAGATCTCCCCAAAATCACCATGTTCCCCAGCCACAGCACATCATTCCCCCTACAGAAAATTTCCCAGCTGTTACAATGGCTGCTTTGGGCAGTGGACTCTATGGCAGCATACCCTGCTGAAGTCCCTCCGCACCCCAAACCCTGCCCTCCCCAGGCTCTACCCATCAAATCTACAGGTCTGGCCCTTCCCTTAGTATTGCCAGCTTCCAGGCAGCACCTGGAGATCTCCAAGATCAGTTCTCCTGGTGAAAATGGCTGCTTTGGACAATGGACTCTATGGACTTATACCCTGCTGAAGTCCCTCCGCACCCCAAACCCTGCCCTCCCTAGGCTCTACCCCTCAAATCTACAGGTATTTCCCAACCCAGAGTTGGCTATGGAACTGCTTTCCAGACCCTTGGAACCCAGAAGACATGGCATCGGAGGAGGTGCTTTTCTACCTTAGCTGCCACTGCATAACCCCAAATCAACATAAGTCAGGGGTGGAGGGAACCATACCTGTTACCATGAGGCTGTCCTCCCATACTACCCACGTGGGGCAGCAAAATGACTTGAGACAGCCCTTCCTTATAGCTAAGCAGAAGGAAATAAACATGGCTTGCCTCCCTCTATTTTCCCCTTCCCTCTGCCACCCCACCAGCCACAGCCGGGACACTCACCTGGAGCTTCCTTCTAGAGCTCATTGTATTTCTTCCCACAACAGGCCTTACTCCTAGTGTGTGTGTGTGTGTGTGTGTGTGTGTATATACATACATACATACATATACACACATATATACACACACACACAAATATAGTGCAAGAAAGGATGAAAGAGACGTTAACCCTCACATGTGAAAATGCTCACAGAATGTACTGCTTGGAGCAACATTTTAAAAGGCATGGAGAAAAAATGTTTGCGGAAGTATGGAAAAGTCCTTGTTGAGGGGAAAAGAAACCCTGCTGATTTTAACGGTATGGTTTTATATGTTGTCAAAGGCTTTCACGGCCGGAGTTCATTAGTTGTTGTAGATTTAATGGGCTGTATGGCCATGGTCTTGGCATTGTAGTACCTGATGTTTCGCCAGCATCTGTGGCTGGCATCCGCAGAGGTATGGTTTTAGTTTTTAAAACACAATTCAGAAAAGAAAATTAAATATTTATTCAAATGGTGTAGGCTTGGTGCAAAGAGAATAGCACTAGAAACCTGTAATACTGAAGACAGGGATGGGCCACTGTCCTAGACGTCCACTGGTGGCCAGGAGTACATGGAGCCAAGCCTACTTGGCTCAGGCCCTTCATTGTGAATGGTAATAGACATCAATTGACTGTCTCCTCCCTCACTGCTGCCAAGTTGCTGGAGGAAGCAATGGGTGTTGGTGCTGCTGAGCCAAGTGCTGGCTGCTCAACTTGGAATGCTCCAGGACTTTGTCCAGTCCTGCTGTCCCACAACCACATTCAGTACTCCATTCCAAGGAGCAGTGGATGCAGAGTGGCTAGAGGCAGGACATTTTTTTTCTTCAGCTGTAGGCAAATTACAAAGCCTGTTTTGTGAATGAATTTAAGAACAGACAGACATACCAGGATCCATTGCTTGAAATGAAATTAGCATGCAGACTACTTTCATTCAGAGGAACACTAGGGCTTATCCTGTCACTAGAGTGGGATATACAGATATTTGCAGTTTCACAATAAAAACGAAGAAATCATTTTAACTTCTACATCAACTCATTGGCGTACCCTCCCCCAGCCATGGATCTATCAAGGTCAGGCAATACTCAAATCCTGTCCTCCATTCCTGACACAAAAACATTTCCACTGTCAGGCTAAGCTTTAGGAATGATCTGAGTCCTGTGTCAAAGGTGGTCCCTTAAGTGCCAAAATAAAAAAAGGCCTCCATCCAATTGTGAAGCAAACTAAGGAAGTTCCAAGTAAGTTTGAGAAATTCAGAACTTCCTAGGACATTACAGAGTCAATGGGAATTAAAATGATATACTCTTTCTGGCAGATATTATTGCATCACATTGTTTGAAGCCCTGAGGTCTACAGATGATACACAATCCATTATCCTTCCTCTTGGTAGTCTCATGCTAGGACTGGTCATTCGTGCCTCATTTTTAATTTCAGCTTGTCTAGTTCTGCCTTTGGTCCTCTGGCTCATACTCTCTGTGTGTGTGTCTCTTGCTCTGCTAAACAGCACAAGCCTGAGTAGGTTTGTGATATATAGAGAACTAAGCTGACTGCACAGACCGCTGATAGAGATTTAAGACAGGATAGTTCCACATGGCATGCTTGATTTAACCAGGCACACTGAACTTGAGATAAAGCCACCCCCCAAGTCTTTAATGCACCCTCTTCCAGGAGCCAGTCCTCTCACGATCCATCATTCTCCAATCAGTGCATTTCACAGGTGCAACGTTACCTCTTCTCAACTCTTCCTCTTGAGAAAATGGTTTGATAGCCTGAATTCTCATAAAATGAGTACAGGAAGGCTCAACAGAATACAGGAGGCTCAACACTGAGCAGAATAGCTTGGTTTGCTTCAGATTAAGAAACTGAAAAGGACTCTACACTGGGCCAAATACCCTAGTTAATTAACAACAGTAACTCCATTTTACAGCGCTGGACAGATGAACCGCAGAACTATGTCACTAAGGTCCCATGCCAAGGGAGACTTTGGACTTGTGTATCTTAAATAGACCCATCCATGCCAAAGGAAGTTTCAAATAAAGTTTGTCACCATTTCCATGCAAGTGCAAACATCATTCTTAAACAATCAAAGTTTGTAAAACTTTCTGCACAACTTTTTGCCTCCCCAGTAGATCCAAATTTAGTGCCCCGTTACCCTGCATTTTCTGAACCCACTTTTTCCACGATTTCCCCCCCCCACACACACACACTTTGGATCTGAACTCACAGTTTTCTTGTGAGGAATTCCCAATTTTGAATTTTCTTTCCTGCTGCCCTTTTATGTCATCAGTGTCACGTGTTCAACCCCCTCCCACCACCCTTCAGGTTGTCCCCTGAGCAATCCACTAATATTTTGTGTAATGTTGACTACATTATGACACAACTTTTTCATTATAATATAGCAATGTTATAATGTTGGGACAAAATGGGCACTGAGGGTCCATGTAGCCTTCTCCATGAAGTTCCTTTCCTTTAATTTTTTCTCCCTGGTGGCTAGGTTTTGATGCCATGCACTTGTATTATTTCTTCATTCTCCCACCCCCCTCCCCTATAGCTCCCAATGTGTTTTCTTTTTTTACAATGTTATGATGTTAGGAAATTACTGCACATGTAAAACTCTATTGTTTAAATTAGTTTCAGTCCAGATTTACTGCTTTGCATTCAAGTGAAAGAATCAAGAATTAAAGATAAGCCATAGCATCCTTTAATTTATTATACTGGTATGATGGAAGGCAGCCCCCCCCCCTCCAGCTTTTTGCCACTAGGAATCTGGCTCCTGTTAATAACCATACTATATGTTCTCTTCTGATATGAAGGATTGTTCCATTGTCTAAGACTCTCAAAATAATTACTTTGGGTTGTAGGGGAATGAAATAATCTGTTATTTTACCAACAAAGGATATGATTAAGGTCCCAAACGACAGCATTTTATAACACAGTCCCACCAGGTATGAAAACTAGAACGAGTTTTGCCATACTTCTCCTGGAAAGACAATGGACATTGACTAGTAATGTGATGTAATTTGTCTGAAGTTAGGTACCATGTAATATATACTTTAAATGTAAGATCTCTTATGTTAATGGAATTTCAGAGAGCTTTCTATCTGAAAATCTGTGGGTGGGCAGCCAAATAGCAGTTTGTTTTGCATAGTCTCTGAACACCCAGAAACCAAATCCCAAACAAATGCAGGATTAAGAACACTTACTTAGAAAGCAGGATGACACAATTTTGAGCCCTCCGGCCATCAATCACAGAAAGCTCTTTGACTTTTCGACTGGACAGGTACAGGTCTTCAGTTGATCCCATTTCCTTCTATAAACAGTTAGAGGACATGAAAATCAGTGCCATGGATTTTCCTCTCCTAATTTTTCCTTTCTGTGCACAAACCAGATGGCCAGCTTTATTAGGTAACCCCAATGCTCTAAGTCCAAAGAACTGAGCCTGTAAAGAACCTGTAATGCTACAAAACAAACATTTAAAAGAATGCTAAGGCAGCACATGATGATTCTCTTGCTTCTAGTTCATGGTTAAGTCAAAGATGTATTTACTTGAGGTCACTGGTCCAATTACACACAGTTCTGTGCGAATGTGCCTTTACTGGGGTCTGGTTCTCATCTTACTTCTACCACTGTAGACCGGATTGTCTAAGCCAGATGAATAAAATTTTGTAGCATAATTAACATTATAGCATAAGATGAAATCTTTTAAAAAGTATCATGCATTATGGTGCAGTGCGTGCCTGTGCATCTCACGAAACACATTGCCCCTCTGGAAATCTGAAACAGCTGTGTGGGGGAGACACCAGCTGTGGAGCTTGAACAATTAAAGTCACTACTCAGGAGCAGTGTCCCTTCTGTCCAATAAGGGAAAAACATAGTAGCATCCTTCACATTTCCTTGGTACCTCTCTCTGTTCCTCATGGATTCAGATAAGTGAAAGCACAGTGACAGTTTTCCATGCTCCTCTCAGAAATTCATGCAAGCGAAACCATGTTATCTCCATCCCACTACAAACGACCCACTTAAGTGCACATAAAGGTAAACCTTACTCATGCAGTAACCAGTTTGGGTGATCAGTACTGTCACAAGGTCTTTTAATGTAAACACTGGAATAGAACTCCACAAGTCAGACAGGAGACAGGGAGTAATACTTACCTGCTTACAGGAGGAAGGGTTAGTTAGCAGGTCCTACACAGGTAGCAGTCGAAGATAACAGAGAAGGGAAACGTGCCAACAGTTAGCCACAGCAGTAAAAGGTACAGAGTTTACCAAAGCCAACAATACTGAGCCCTGTATGGTTTTCTAAGTGATTAAAATGCTCTGCTAGTAAACATGACTCTATTAAGAGTTCCAAAGAGGAACACATTGGGGTCTGTTCTCCTTTCCATACATATGTATAATGGATATACGGTAATCAACAGTGATGTAATATTGCGCTCAGTGCTTTTGTGCAAGGTTCCCACAAAGCATAATTAACCATTGCATCACCTTGTTCTACAATTATATAATCAGTCTTAAAAATAAACATCACTGAAGGGGTTATGAGTAAAGTTCTTCTACTTGAATGGTTGGACAATATTGCTTCATTCCTGCATAACTAACAGCAGACACATTTCTCAGGAGGGGAGAACAGACCCATTGTCTTTTCAAAGAAAGAAAGACACAGTTTAACAACTAAAAGAAACTGGAAAACCATATTAATACCATGTTAATTGCAGCAGGAGAAAAAATGTCTTGTTCACGCTCCTTTTCTGAAGAACAAAAGAATAGGGATTTGCTTTGACATTTGGAGTTGGGTGCATTTGGTTGAAGCTAAATAGTTGCAAATTCAGGGTTAGTAATTACTAGCAAACTCTGGAAACTTAAAAAAAACCAGAAGGGAAAAAATAAGAATGAAACTACTGGGAAACTTCTTGTCAGATTTTTAGTTGAAGAACAGGTTTTGATGTCTTGCCTCTCCCCCCCCCCGTCAATTTATAGTTTTAATTATTATGTCATTTAAGGTTTCAGTTGTTTCAAGGTAAATCTAGATGAAACACAGAATAAATCTCTGTTTTAAAAGACAAATGGTCAAGCAGAAGCAAAAATTGATATGAACATATGAAAATGCCTCAGGAGAAAGGTGGGCACAATAATGTCCTGAATAAATAAATCTGAGGCTATAACACTGGTCTGTCTTGCTTAGGGTTCCCAAGTCGATCTTTGCCGGGAGCGGGGGGCTCCAGGCTGGCATCTGGTGTGTGTGCGCGCGCAAAGCACGCGCACACCGCATGCACGTCAGCGTGCCCGCGTCGCTTCCAGGTGACGCGCACGTTGGGGAGGAGTTCCCCCCGGGGCCGGGGGGACTTGGGAAGCCTAGTCTTGCTCTCTATTTCATATTCTGACCAGCTGAGCTACTCTGATGTGAAAGAAACATTTGAGTTGCTAAGGGGGAACAGTCAGTCACAGAAGCATAACATTCAGGGGGCTACATTTGGATATTAACTGAACAAAATTTAACCCCGCAAAATGTGCTGCTGTTCATAGAAATTATTAGAATTGATTGAAATTAAAAATTACTGGCAGTAATATTAGGGAAAGTATGAATTTGGCCATTAATCAGGCAGCCTGCTTAAAAATCAAATGGATCAGTGTTGTGGGCCAAGTGAGGACGTGTGTATGCTGCAACCAGTGACGCACAGACAGCACCAACACATATGATCAATGATATGGGTCTCTCAACATCTTTGGGGGTCCAAATTGGATTGGGGTTGTGTAATGGGGTCCATACCCCATTTTTTAAAAAGAAAAATGTACCCACACCCCACAGCTGCTATTAGCTGTGATAAGGAACCTTCTGTTCACATTTAAAGCAGTTGTGCTGGTTTACCTCTACACAAAAACGGATTGTGTCTATGAGGAAAGCTAGCCCCTACCCCTTTTCAAGCAACACTGCCTGAGCTCTGTTTTAACATCTTTCCCCCAGGCAGGTTAACTTCCAGTACTGGAGCAGGGATGGGAGCACTAGATGACAATAAGATGAAGTGGAGTAGCATTTCCTTCTCCTGATCTGTGTTCTTTTTTTGTTTTGTTTTAAAAGAGACCTCCACGTCCATTGTAGAAATGAATGGGTGGACCCATACACAATGATCTTAGGATTTTTAAAAATTATATATTTATACAAACAAACAAACAGATGAGTTCTATAGCTGAGAGTGCTTTCCATTTGATTTGGGCTGCCTATAGACTGCAAACAATGAAGCTGCCATACTGAGTCTGATGGTTCATCTAGCAATGTCAGTATTGCCTACTCTCACTGGCAGTGGTTTCAAGGAGTCTTAGCTATAGGTCTTTAACATCACCAACTACTTTTAACATGAAATGCCAGTAATTGAACCTGGCTGGGACCTGCTGTAAAGCAGATGCTGTTCTTCTGAGTCATTGCCCTATGCTAGTGCAGAATGCAGCAGCGTGCTGCTCAATTGGTGGAGGACATTATCCATGTATATTATACATATACACACATCTTTTGGGGAAACGGCACTGGCTGTTTCTTTCCTAGCTAAATTCTGGGTGCTGTAAAGTCCTTCATGACCTGGAACTTGCATATTTGAAGGACTGCCCCATCCTAGATACGTCTTCATGCCAGCTAAGGTTAGTACAATACTTTCTATTAGTAGTTACTTCCTTTCAGGAAGTCCATTTTGTCTTCAGGGAGAGCTACAGCTTTCTCCATAGTGGTATATTCACTCTTTGGAATGGTATGCCAAAGGAGACATGTAGGGCACCTTCTCTGGTGAGGTTCAAGACATTTTTATAAACAACTTTATTCCTGTGAGCCTTTGTAAATTGATTTGCTTGCTTGATGATTTGGATTTTAGAGCCATTCAAGGCAAGTTCTCGCTTGGTTATGGTTCTGAATATATAGTGTGTTGTGAATTTACTGTGAAAACATGATTTTTAGTGAGGGATACTGCAGTTCTGTTTTTCTAAAGCTATGTAAATTGCTTTGAAGAAGTGGACAATAATAATATTTTGTCAAAGGCTTTCACGGCCAGAGTTCATTAGCTGTTGTAGATTTTCCGGGTTGTATGGCCGAGGTCTTGGCGAAACGTCAGGTCCTACAATGCCAAGACCACGGCCATACAAACCGGAAAATCTACAACAGCTAATAATAATATTACTTTATTAGGTAGCTACTAGTGCCTGCCTTTTTAATTCTTTTAAAAATAAAAATGCTTTTTCCAAGTTGTCTGAAATTTGACAGATAGGATGCCTGGGGTCAGGCACAATCCCTGTAAATTTCATCCCAACTGAATTGGGGGGGACGTGGACGTGGACGGAGGACCTGTTACAGCGCAAACGTGCTTTCCAACTGAAATCAGTGGAAATTAATACTAAAATAAAATGGAAAAACTTATTACAACCTTAAAAAATGAACAGTAATACTTTGTTTTACACATCCCTTAAGTTTGACGGGAAGAAAGGCCTAGGAAAATAAGATCTCTTGGTTTATCTTTGTGTTTGGGTTAAACACTATGGAGAAACACAGGACTCAACAAAGCAGCAGTATGGAATGGCTGTGCAAATAAGGTAAGGGCTTTGGAAGAAAAAAATGGCCTAAACAGAAAGGGTTGTGTGATGCTGGATATAACCAATGTTCCCTCTAAACTGTGAAGTCTTGTGAGCAAAAATTCTACTTGGTGAGCTACTGGCATTAAAGCTGTGAGCGAACAGTTTGGCTGCTGCATCAATTAGTTTGCTCTGGAGCCCTCCCTCCTGAGCTAAGACAAAAATGTGTGAGCTGGAGGCTAAAAAACTGTGAGCTAGCTCACACTAACTCAGCTTAGAGGGAACACTGGATATAAGACATGTGGAAATGCAACTGGGTCTGGGGAGATTGGGATAGTGAGAGCTACAACCCAGGAGATGCAGGACAGAATGGAAAAGCTTTTCCCTATGATACCCCTACCTGTGACACACGCCAAAAAGACTATTTTGAGGCAAACTGAAAGGCATTGTAGTCAGGTTGGTATGGGCTCTGATGATTTTCATTGGTTCCAACTGGGACAGGGCAAAAGGTCGCAGGATAAGAAGTTCTAAAATTAGAAGCTGTAATTTGTTTGTAATACAGCATAAAAAAGAAAAACAGAGGGATCAAACAGCATCCACTAGTGTCCCAATTCAACAGTACTGGATAAACGTTTATTAGGCTCCAAAGCAGCTTTGGGCTGTCATTTTAACAGCAGCAGGCTGCTTCAAGAAGGCTGGAAAAGACCAAGCTTGCAGAGTCTATTCCAATAACTGGGGGGGGGGGGAAGAGTCTGGAGGGAGGAAAAGAGGGGTAATAAAAAAAAACCCAACTCCATTCCAGCTGAATCTCATTCATCAGACACCGACAGAACACAGGTGATTTGCTTTCCAAGAAGAGAAGAGAGAAAAATCTAAGAAATAGCTGCTGTTAAAATATGTTGTTAGTGTCACAATCTGTAACTCAGCCAGGTTAGCCAGTAGAATTGTTGGAAAGAAAAAGAAAGTGAAGTGAAACAAACAAAAAGAGTTCAGTTAATCCAATCATACTACTCAAAACTCTTTAGCTGCTTGGGAAATTTTATTCAGGATGAGTGGGGGATGTAAGGGTAAATGCGCTGGGGAAGGGGAGAAAATAAAAGCACAAGTTACAAAGCAACTAACAATCTCCAAACAAAACAGAATATTACCTTCCAGGTTTCAGGATCTGCATTTTTATACTAATGACAATGGCAACTGCTGTTCAGAGTTTGAGCCAAAGCAGTAGTTTAGCTTTGCTCTCATCTTTACTTTGAAAGCATTAAATCCATGAAAGGAAACTCTTCCTGCAGTTGGCTCCCCTCCATTGTGCACCAGACGCTGGAAGTAATTCTGCCCAGTATCACAGGGAACACAGAGTCTGCAATGATAAGGGGGGAAAGAGGAACTCCTTACCTGGTGTCTCTGATAAGCAGAGAACATTTTCTCAAAATCTTCCAGATCCAACATCTTGAAAGCTCTTAAATCATCAATTTCATGCCAGATTGTGCCATTTATTCTCTCCTGGAATCAAAAGACATAAACACACATTCAGCGCACCATACAATGAACCCTTGTGACAAAAGGAAGTGAACTGCCGTCAGCCAATGAAGATAGTTTCAGAGGGTAACCGTGTTGGTCTGCAGTAGTACAGCTAGATTTCAGCCCAGCCAGTACCAACAGCTCAGATCTGCAGGGGGGATTTCTTAATTGGAGAAAAAGCATATGATCCTGTAAGCCTTCTCCCAGTTGCTTACCCAGAGCCTGAGACTGTTACATCTGTGAAAATCTTGTAAGAAGTACCTTAAGGGTTCATTCAGATGTCATGATAAACAGTCTGATCAAGCCTCCGTGTGATTAGGCCTCTGAGTGCAGACAGGCCAACAAATTAGGGTTTTCAGTTGGCTTCAAAAAAGGATTTCTAGCGACAGTTTGTAGTCACTTGTTAACCACCGTTTGTACTGATTGTCATGACGTCTGAATTCACAAACCAGAGTTTGTCAAGTGGCAACATATCCTGCAGTGTGTTGTCCTGCAAGGCACTTAATGTGCTCTTATGGGCTTTATAACCCATATGTGATAAAATGGACTGTGCAAACATATGCTTAAGGGACTGTATTGCTTGGTGAGAATGCACACCTAAGAGAAGAAAGTCTTCCTTTGCGTTGCTGTTCCAGTGGTTCTTCAAGGTATCTGCCCTTTTGCCTGCTGTGAGATGAAGCAGTTCCATAAGCCTGCACAAAGCTTCAGACGCCATGCCATGGCACAAGAACAAAGAGCTCCAAACGCCACAAGGAGCTCCCTCTGTCACACGCAGGCAAAACCCCTCCCATCTACCTGCAAGACTGCACGTAACTGAGAGGTTCTATACACGGTTGCTTGGAAACTAATCTCTCACCCATCAACAGGCCCATCAAGAAACAATACCCCTTGCTCAGTGACTCATACCCTCTTTATCCAGGTGCCACTCTCCAGTCCAAGTTACTAGGTCTCAATATTGACCACTCCTTAGTTCCCCTCCCCTCTTCCTGCCAGCCAATAGCATGTTTTTGGGATGGACTAGTAGGAGGTGGGCCAAGACATGTGACCAGCCTGGCACAACCCCCAAGCCCCCCTTAAAAGGGTTACCCAGCCATGTGCTCGCTCTCTTGCTCTTCCCCCCCCAACAACCTCTATAATCTCTGCTTCTTGAATTTGTGGCCATTGAGTTAAAAAAAAACCCTTGCCTCAAGACTTTGGAACTGCAGCTAGAGTCCCATGTGCTTTCTGCTGGTTCAGTCTGCACGCTTCCTTTTCCTGGCAAAAATCCAATTTTCTAGAGTTTCCTTATTTTTCCATTTGGAAGACTTCACCTCTTCAGGATCAGGTGAAAGTATTGCCAAACCAACAAAACTCCTGCTAAAGTGAATGTGCTATCCCAATCTCTCTAAGTTTCCTAGCCCTATATAATTGTGTGTGTGTTTATGTAATATTTGAATGTGTATAAAATACAGTAAAATATATTGATTTGAACTAATATCAGCCTGCTTGTCTGTTACTGGTGCTCTGGATAAGTGGCAACCTCTGTATATAAAGGCGAAAGCTCCCTTTGCCAATTGCTTATTAATAATAATTCATAATTCCCCAATATTGATATGAAAACAGAGCAATTTGGCTAACAAGTGGTTTGGCCATGGAGACAACAGTACAGGAGGATGACTTCTCTAATGGGAAATGGAGAACAGCCAAGCCAAAGTTAGGTACTAACTGGGCTTTATTACTCACATTTAGCAACTGGAGTTTAGAACAAAAAGTAAGGCTATGTCCAGACACCACGATGTCTGGGCATAGCCTCACTCTTTGTTCTACCTTCATCCTTCAACATCAGCTAAAGACCTGTTTGTTTTCTTGATAACATGGGAAGGCATTTTTAGAACACTGCTTCCTTCAACTTTTTATATCTTAAAATATACTTTATAAATTAATGTTGTATTTTATTGTGAATTACTGTATTCTTCATAATAGTACAAGAGCAAAATATAAATTTTAAAAATTGTTCTAAGTGTTTTAACTGTTTTAATCCTACTTGTAATTGTATTTATTGAAATGTTGTTCACCGCCTGACTGTGTGCAGGGAGGGCAGTCAAAAAATGAATGAATGAATGAATAAATAAATAAAATTATTATTTTTTTGCTACAGAAGTTGTTGCTTTTGCCCTTTAAAAAACCTGAAAAGAAGCAGAAACACAGGAAATCAAATTGGCGACCAAGAAAGCCTTCACAGCATGTGTTGTCTTGTAGTCCAGAAGAAAGGATTACCAAGTGTCAACAAAGAGACCTCTCCTGGGCTGAAGTTCCTGAAGTGCACTCATGCAGCAAAGTACATTAACACTTCATTACTGAACTAATTAGGAACAGCCTCCATTCCCCACTCACAGTCATTAAAGAGAGCAAGACTGTTACTTAAAACAGTCAGGACATGAACAGAGCAAAAAGCAGGGCTGCTGGGTGTGTGTGTGTGGGGGGGGGGAGATGATCAAAGGAATTAATTTTTTTCTTTGAGGGAATCCAGGACGGGCAGCATTAAAAAAACAATGGTAGTGCTTTTTCTTGCTTCTCCTGAAGTGGCACGTCATTCTATAAAGCTGTGCTGTTTAAGAGCAAGGAGCCATCAAAAGTACCATGAAAACATCTGTTTTGCCCCTATTTGAGATCCAATGTGGTGAGTAATATTGGGGGAGGGGCCTATTGAGTCTCACCTATTATTATTGCTAAAGTAAATTATTCCCTTTGCTCCATAAAAATATTTACAGTCCCTAACGAACAATTGAAAAATAAAACTTCTTTTTAAAAAATATTACTTCATCAGTATATCTTTTTCTTTCATTCTTAATGAGAGGTTTTAGTTCCAAGTGAACCTAGTCAAGTTACTTATCTGGTTTCTCTGCTATGTGAAAGTTGTAGTCCATTATGAGAAATCAGACCTGTGAACAATATTTCCCAGGATTCCCCAGAGATTGTCTAAGACATAAGGGGAAAAGTATTTGGAGCATATGCAATTAGCCAGAGTTTGTCTTTATAAGGAACTGGCCTTTTTGAGAGCATCTGTTCCCTAAACGCATTATACAATCACACTATAATCATGTCATTCTGCACTTACATACTAGAACTGAAGCATAATTCACTGAGAAAGAAACCAGAAATATGAAACACAAAGAATGGCCATCAACGGGGATCCCCCCCCCCCATTTGTTTCTATCTGGCATCACAACTCAAAGACAAACTCACCATGAATAAATGATGCTTGACTCTCCCCCCTTGCTCACAGAGGAGAGGGAGGATGAATTTTGGTGGTCTCCTCCTTCCCAACCCCCGTGATGTTCCTGAGGGGTCCACTGATCTACAGAAGCATATAGGAAGGCACAGAAAACTGCAGCACGAGGGAGTAGGCAGGAAAGTTGCTGCTTACGCATTGCAGTTTCACTTGAATTGCTTTGAATGAAAGTCATTGCTTTGAAGTGATTTTTTTTAATGGAGGACTATTTTGCAATCGAAGAAAACTCATGACACTTTAAAAAACTTAAGAAGAAAACTCATGACACTTTAAAAAACTGGAACATATTCCCACTTTCTATTCCAAATAATATGATCATGGTGCTATTGATTAGCTTGATTTCATTTCTGCCTTGTTAGACAGCATGAGAAATTTGGTGCTTAGCCTGAATACCTAAAACTGTCTTTTAGATATTTCAGCCATGCATACACTGGGAGGGGGCTTACACCTGCTTCAGACCAACAACAGATCTCATAAAGAAAAGCCGCTGCTCCAGCTAATGCTACAGACCTTGCTCCTTAAAAGGATTCCTCTGTTGTACACAAACTCCCACAGCTTTTCCTAAGCAAAACATCTTTTCCTCTCTCAGCATGACCTCTGATTTCAAAGGTCTTTGTATTCAACTTTGTATTTATTTAAAGGGCACCTTTAAGAGTCTATGCTTCTCAGAAGCAAGTAAGAAATTATTATTGTAGCTCACTGAAGTACTTTGTTCTTATTTCCCAGAAATTAAAAGGCATTGCAAGCTAGCTAGTATAAGGCTTCCAAGCATCCAACAAATAAGCATCTTAGAGGAAATTCATGAACTGTCACAGTCTTCTCTTTAAAAACAAGAATATCCTCCTCCCCATGTTCTTCCTGGTTTCCCTCTCCGAGGGCTGCAGGCACGTAACTCTTTATTATCGAATGCTTCATCAACAAGAGCATAAAAACTGCATATTTAAAAAACAACACAGTTTTATTTTCCTTCTTTGTTAAATGTTAAGTCTGATAACAGCCTGCAGACCTAAACCAAAGTTAGTCATGCTACCTGTACTAAAGATGCTCACTGTTGTTTCTAAGCTGATAGTGACAGGAAGGCTTTAAGAACATAAGAACATAAGAGAAGCCAATGTTGGATCAGGTCAATGGCCCATCTAGTCCTATGTATTTTGCACATGCTGAAGGTTCTCTAGTTTGATTCTGAATTAGCTCCTATAGAAATTAATAATACACATGACTATATTTTGGTAATACTTTATTTAACATCAGTCCTTTCACAGTTTTTTCTTGTTGTGGTCACGTCTAGTTAGTGCCAGACTCTCTTTTTGGGATGACATGGCGCAGGACAAAAGGATGGTAGTACCAACTCTTGGTTAACATGATAAGGGGAAAATACCTTTGGCACAAAGGAAGGATCTGTCCTGAGTACCACCAAGACCTTCCTAGCCAACAAAGCCCCTAATTAAAACATCTTTCTTGCAGAAGTCATCTCTGCAAGAAAAAAGATGTCTTCTGAGAAGGAAACTGTTGGAATATATTTACAAGTTGACAACACTTTCAATTACTAAAGAGTCGATTGATGTTTGCATGTAAACAGGATGTTGCCTAACTTAGCTGTAACCAATCAGAAGTGTAGAAAGTTTGCCTGGAAAAACTGTGAGTGTAGTCTAATGAAGTGATCTATAACCTTTCTATTGGATAATCAATAACTTGGTTGAAGAACTGCTTT